AATTCAATATTACTGGTGAGGAGAAATTAATATTCAAATGATCGATATTCAAGTTTTTTTTTTTCCCTTTTTTTTTTTTTTGTTTGATTAGAGTGCGTTGAACATTCAACGCTGGCAACGGTTTCGAAAACCATTGGATGGCTTCGGTCACTCATGCGGATTGATGACGAGTGTCATTTTTTTTTTTTTTTTTAAATACAGCAGAAATAAGCTAAATAATTAAAACAAGAAAAATCATTAACGGAGGAAGCAGGCCCCATCTGATCCCCGGATGGCCGGTTATTTTATAATCCACTTGCTAGAGAATCCCAAATATTAAAATATATAATCTTGATGCAATTGAGTGTCCCAAGAAAACTTAAAAAGCCGCCGCAACAATAACTTCCCCTAAAAGAAGCTGCAATATACACAGACCAAATCCTTGCATCAAATTTTTAATTTCCAATAAAATAACTGCAGACAAGTTATCTGGTTTCTGATCCTCATTGACAAGGCGAATAGATACGAGAGAGTTCACTTCTACAATAACATAAGAAAGTCCAAGGGATTGGCATAACCGAAACCATTCTCTAAGACCCCAAAGTTCTGCTATGAGAATAGAGGTACATCTCACATTAACTATGAATTCTGAAACCCAACTACCAGAATTATCTCTAATCAAGCCCCCAGCACTAGTAGAATTTCTAGTCGCACTGTAAAACCCATCAAAATTCAGTTTATACCATCTTGCATCCGGTGGAATCCAACTTATCCATCTTTGCTGCCTAGATGTAACCCGAGAGATGGGGTTTAGTGCAATCATACTATATTTTGCCTGCTGAAAAATCAAAGCACATAGCTCTTGAAAAAAAAATATTAAAATTAAAATTTTAAATTTTAACTAATTATATTAAATTTATGTGCCACATAACTTACTTACGGGGGGGGGAAAGTCATTAAAAAAATGTTTTTACAGGGAGTGTACTCATTTAAACGTACCTACCTCATCTTCTTTAATCATTTAACTGTTCCTCAAGCATTCGTCCATCTTCTTGTCATCACAGCATCTAGCATCATTACATTAATCATTTCCATGCATGGCCAACGAAGTGTTATATGAGTTATAAGCCTCTATAGATAGTACATATATATTTATGGTGTGTTTTTTATGCTCTAGTATCATGGGCGAACATGTTGTGTGTATATTTCTTATTACATTAATATATTTATTTTTCACAACAGCATGAATTGTCTTCAAATAAAGAAGTTTTTGATGTTAATTTTAGTTATATCTTTATTATTAATATATCTTAAATAAATTTATTAATTATGATTTTTATTAATCTCATAAGTAAGGTGCAGCAATAATATGCTACAATGATGAAAATTGCCCGAGAAAGAACTAGTTCTAATAAATTAGATTTTTAACATTTTTTTTTATTTCTATTGCAACACTTTTTAATTTAATTTTTTAGCTAAAAGTATAAAGATATTCTTAATAACAATAATATCATGTAGTTATATAATAAATTAATGATAATTTAATACATTATTAAAAGTGAGATAGTAAAACAAAAATCCATGTGAATGAAAAGACGACCCATATATATACATGTGCATGCAACAACTCAGGACGTTCTGATATTAAAATATTAAGATGTCTCATCAAAATTATTTATTAAGTGAGACATAAT